CAAATTCTCTTTCTTCTTTTAAAAATTCAAAATTTGAATCTTCAGCATAATTTGATGATATTTCTTCAGTTTTGTTTGAATTGGCCTTTGTTTTTGCTCTTTTTTTAATAGATGCAGTTCTTTGAACACCTTTTTGTTTTTTAGTACTAACAATTTTTTTGCTTTAATTATTAAAATTTAATAAATTAATAATTTACTAATAAAATTAATAATTAATAATTAAAAATATTAATAATAAACTTATCTTTGCATTTATTTACATTATACTTTCTTTGTGTTATACTAGTATCTTTATTTTTTTAGAAATAGAAAATTTATTATGAATTTCAATTCTTTTATAAGCTAGCAAATCAAAGTTCCAACCCCTTTAAAAAAATTTAAAATTAGTAAATTTTTTTTAAATTAAATAAAAAATTAATAATTCTTACTTTATAATTGCTACTCTAAGTTTTAATTTTGTTTCTTCTTTGTTTACTGATGCATGTGCAAATTCAGCAATATTGGTATCAAATGGAGTAGAATTCTATTAATTAGTTGGCATTTTAGTATAAGCTTGTATTAATAATACTAAAGTCCAAGGAGTTTTATAAAATGAAATCCTATCTAAAAATTATAAAATTTTTAAATTAATTTAAAAAATTAGTAATTTTTAGAAATTATATAATTAATAAATTTACTTTGTATTTTTGGTTCATTTAATTTTTCTAAAGCTTTAAACAATTGTTGAATATCTTCCTTATTAGTTTGATTAATTAATTCATTCATTAAACTTTTTGCTTTATCAGAATAATTACTATTATGAATATTTCTTAATATTATTAAAATAAAAAATTTAATTAAATATATTAATAAAGAAAAATATTAAAATAATATATAAAAGAATTTTTTATTTTTTTGCATATGCGATGTATCGCACTCTATAAGATCTTGTGTAATATGAAATTAAAACAATAAAATTAATTCGTTAGTTTAGGGTTAGGGTGAAAGTTAGGTTAGGTTTAGGTTAGGGTTAGAGTAGAATGCTTTAGCAAAATGGTTCTACCCAAAATTTCGAGAAGAATTTTTTTTGTTAAAGCCCGAAAGATGGTTTCATAGACAAAATTTCTTGCTATAGCCGATTTTTGAAAAAAAATCATAATTATTTCAATTTCACATTACACCTGATTCTGCACTCTAATTGGTTGATTAGGGTGGCGATACGTCACCATGGTGATAAATTATAAAATCCTATATAAAAATTAATAAATAATTTACTTACCTTTGAAAATAAACTTTACATGATTTAATAATATAGGCTTGGTACTGAGAAAAAGGACAAATTGACAAAATAAAAGATTTTTAAAAAATCAATTTTTATATTGTAAATCCTATAATAAATTATATGAAAATGCAAACTTTAAAGAGCAATATACTCTCCCAAATATCCTCTCTTTTTAACCTTATACTTCAACTCTCTTTAGAATATCTCCTACAAATTATACCTATTCAAAAAAATATACAAACCAAACTCTCTCAGTTACTATCTATACAAACAAAAAAAAATACTCTCTTTGGCCAAAAACATTAATAATATATCACTTACTAACCTACTCACCTTTAATCTGTCCACTTTTACTAACATAATTCAAAAAATTAGCATATTTAATATTGAATGTACTTTTAATACATTTTCACTTCTTCATAATATTGGCATTCTCTAAATCAAATCTTGGTTATTTAAAATTTGGTATCCAAAGCTTACTAAAGAAACACTTCTTATACATTATCAAAAACACAAAACTATACACTCTATTTCACCTCTCACAATTAGTAAAAAACAATATAGCAATCTCTTTGCTCACTCAAATCACAAACTACCCTACCTTTATTCCTGAACATTCCTATCTAATTTATAATATACTTCTACCAACCACCAATAAACTTATACTTAACAGTCTTAAAAACAACAAAATCTTATTTATAGAACAAATTACAACAGCAAACAACAAATTTTTTCTCTCCTGAAACAATATATATCTTTGTACAAACAAAGCAACTAAAGGCTGACAACCTTCTTGGTTTATTCGACTTTTACAAATGATACAAACAAATTCTTTCCAGATTACATAGCCATACCTTTA